AGAGTTACTCTTCTTTTCGACGATATCATTCTCAAACTGTGTACAATCGCATTTTTATAGTAAATTATCTTAACAACAAAAGGAATATTTCCAAACATGTGTCATCCGAATTGTAAATCTCTTGATAACAAATTATGTAATGTAGAAGGCATTGATCAGGTAGAGACCGGACCTCTGCATTCAAAAGCGCTACATACATTCACTCGTCTTACCGTGGCCAGAGTAGAGTTCTTACTATAATTTTGCTTCTTTTTATTATGTAAGTTTACTATTATTATTATTTTATTTTTACGAGTTGATCACGGATTGATATCAGTTAGAGAACCATTGAAAACCAGGGAGTACTGGACAGCTGCTGTTTCATCCTAGTTTGGGAATCATCGGCAGTACGCACCCACTGGGGTCGCGCTAAATCACGAATTGGTAGAAGTTAGAATTCATGAGACATTGAATCGGGTCCCGATGGCTGAATGGTATAGGAGCTTGCCTTGTAACCGGAAGGTCCTGGATTCGAAACCCAGTGGGTGCGTACTGCCGATGACTTCCAAACTAGGATGAAACAGCAACTGTCCAGTACTCCCTGGTTTTCAATGGTTCTCTAACTGATATCAATCCGTGATCAACTCGTAAAAATAAAATAATAATAACAATAATAATAATAGTAAACTTACATAATAAAAAGAAGCAAAATTATAGTAAGAACTCTACTCTGGCCACGGTAAGACGAGTGAATGTATGTAGCGCTTTTGAATGCAGAGGTCCGGTCTCTACCTGATCAATGCCTTCTACATTACTTAATTTGTTATCAAAAGATTTACAATTCGGATGACACATGTTTGGAAATATTCCTTTTATTGCTAAGATAATTCACTATAAAAATGTGATTGTACACAGTTTGAGACAGTTTAATACCATCGAAAACTCTTCTCTCTGAACGCCTTTTCTTTTTTGTATCACCAGTTTATCATTAAAGCAGGATTTAGAAAATCTGTTTTACTTTTAAATAAAATAAATTTGTTTCACTTTCACACTCTAACCGACTACCACCTGCATAAAAGTATTAACCATCTTAAAGGTAGGTCCCCAGTTTATGGAGAAATACTTTTATTTTTATTTCTTTTTAACAGATGGTTATGCAAGTTAAATATACATTTCAAGGGAAATTATATTAATAAATGAAATACAAGCCTTTTTATTTTATATATTGTGGTAAATCATTTGAATAAACTGGTTAAGCTTTTGAATTATCTAGGGAATTTAGATCTGTTGGCTAAATTTTCAGTTTTTATTTGGATAGATAGACAGATATGTCGAAAATGTTATTTACAATTTCCCGTCGGTGGATGTTCGGTGTCTGGCATCGCCGAAGCATCCACACACTACGAGATGACATGTCAACAAACAGTGAGCATTTCGCTCCAATAAAAACAATCAATGGGAAATCCAAAATTATCATTTTAACAAATCACCAGTGTGACCTGTTGCTCAATAGGTAGCTTTCATGGCTCAGTGATTAGCGCTTTGGCGTTTGAGACAACGCGTGCTGGGTGTATGTCTCAATGGGAACTAATCACATCCTGAATACTTCCAGTTTCTTTACACATAAACCTCATTAGTAAAGCGAATAAAGTTCATATCTGAATCAGAAAATGAACAAGGAGAATTAGCTGTGATGTTAGATTGTAAAATAAAAAGAACAGAAGACGGCAAACTGGACACTAGCGTTTATAAAAAGTCAACGCATTCTAATAGATATTTAGACTTTAATTCATCTCATCCGTTATCTGTAAAGGCAGGCTTAGTCAAGTGTCTAACAAACCGATCAATAACAATATTAAATAGTACAACAAAAAACCTAAACGATGAAATGAAACAGACAGAAGCGTTGGTGTTAAATAACTATGCTATAAAATTCGTTAGAAATATCAAAAAAGGTCAAAAGTAAAATAGAAATAATGGTGAAACTAATAATGATAACATATAAGTAGGGCATGCCTGAGATCCTACATAGGATTCTCAATATAGCAGGAACTAGGGTGACATCCAAACCTGCGAGCTCACTCAGAGACAAGCTCTGTAAGTTAAAGGACGCGGTGAACCCAATTAAACAAAATAATATATAATATAATTTATCCTGTGATTTCAAAAAGACTGAGTTAAAACACATACCTACATCACAAAGTGAATGATACCCACGTTAATTGATGTATAGAATGAAGCTGTAAAATGTGACGGGCTGGAATCTAACCTAACTGATAAACTCAGTATATTTTTTAGCTGAAAGATAGTCATTCTGAAATAAAAATGAATATCTGTCTGATGATTAACTGAGTTTCAAAAACGAGCTTAGCCGCACTTCAAGTTCTCACACTGGGGATGTAGAAAAAAGAGAAAAATAATATTCAAAAGAAATATGATGAAGAGAAATCTACGGGGGGAAACATCAAGATTTAATGGATCTGGAGAATATCGCGAAGAGTAAATGCATCTGACCCATTGACAACGGTTTCCAACCGCATCACTAATAGTCTCCAGCCGTTTTTTCTTAGAATCTCGAGGTTCCCCAACCAGACAGCCTATATTTCCCTAGATGGTTCAAATCAAATGTCAAAGACTTTGTGGACTGATTCCAAGTTTCTACTGGACCACACCTAACTCTTTTCCAACGTAGTCTTATATGTATCCTAGCCACCTCAATCGATCCATCCTCACAACCTTATCGATTGACTTCCCTTTCTAACCTAGCATTCTACGCCTAACCTCGATATTACTCACAATATTATACCACTTAACACGTGAAACAGAATGCAAACATCTGTATACAAAGACGGCTTGCCTTTTCATATATTCCACTTTCAGTGGTTATGCTTCTTAGCCATGAAGGAAGACAGAGCGAGCTGCTGCGTTTTTTCCACGTCCTTCGATCGGTAGCCTGATATCATGTTTACGCCAACATTTTGACGAAAATATCGTTAACATTTATACTCAATTTCGCTTCTAATTGTAAATGGCTCAAGTATATTTCACTGTGATTAAAAAAGAGACATCATATTAGTTCTTACATAAACAGGGTATCTCAAAGCCTAGGATACAACGTCATCGATACCCTTAATATACTTTTTATACCGTGAATGCCTACCTAATTATGCACTGAAATTGTTTCCTGAATTGATTACACCAGGTAGTTTTAGTTTCGGTATAAAAGTTAACAACATCTTACTCAACAATTTACTCACTGATGAAATTCGCTAGTGGTTGCGCCATATCATGAATTGGCAGAAGTTGGACCATTGGGTCGGGTGTCTCAGTGGCTTAATGGTCTACGAGGTCGCCTTATAACCAGAACGCCATGGGGTTCGAACCTCAGTGAGTGCCTACAGATGAACAGTCCCAAACTGGGACGAAACAACTATCCATTACTCGCAGGTTCTCCAATGTCAGTTCACGATGAAATCCTGAAAACCAACACTTGGATATAAGAACTACAGTCAGTAGGTATATGAATGGAAGTATTAGTCATTATTGTGACCTTTCCTTGCTCTTACGGATTCATTTAACTAAGCAGTACACATACAAACATCCACTAAGATTCAGTTAAACAGTGAAGTTTCTACTTTAGAGTATACTGCTATCTCCATGCTAACAGATTTATGATGACTGACCATAGAATCTCTCGATGGTCGCAGAATGAATTCTACACATTTATTATATACTTCGCTTTTGTATCCACGTCTCAGAGACACAACATAGTATCCATAACCCAAAATGTTCAATTTTTAGTTACTCAACCTTATTTTTCGATGTGGTATGGGTTAGAAATATTTAGTGTGAAGTTGTCAGCGCCATTTTAAGAAATTCTAAATTGTATTTCACTAGCTTTGGTTATTAGCTGTAAATGCAAAACAATCGAAGTTAGTTGAGTGAAATATACAAGGTTTAGTACTATAACTAGGAAGAAGATTGAGAATAGGAAAAGGATAAAGGGAGTAAGTAAGCAAAAGAACAGATGAGTTCTGTATGCCGATGAATACGCGTGGACAGCGGTAAGTGCCAGTCGCCCAGGTTGTAGAAATTGATTTTCTTCCTGTAGACAATGAGAATTAGTTATGCATGATAGTACAACCCAAGAGTAAGATCAACCAAATGTCGTCTATTAAAAGGTATTAGAATTTTGAACAACCTTGTCTCCAATTAAGGACTACAATGGAATATATTGAAGTGTATAATTTATACAACTTACTAAGATGCTTCTTGCAAAAGTGTGATGACAGTATAACCTCCTTGGTGGTAAAGCAAAAGAAGCGCTTGAGTGGCACCACACTCCTATCAGTAGGACATCATTACGTTTAAGTCTCGGGCATTCTGCATGGCATGCCAACTAAATCACTACCTCAAGATAACAACTACCAGTTAGGTATTTACAATGATGAAGATATCTAGGTTAATACTCTAGAATTTACCAACCGACACATCTGAAGGACAACTTTAATCATAGTTGTAATAAATTATATATATATATATATATATATATATATATATATATATATATATATACCGCACTTAGCATTAGAAACTAGATTCGGATTTTGAACACTAGTGTTGAATCAGTGCTTCTATATATAGTTTAATGGCTTGGTACGTCACGGAAAGCATTTCTAACAAGCTTCAGACTCCCATCAACATCTACCCTTATTGGCTGGATACAGAAGATCAGATAGACGGCCATAAAGGCCATAAGCAACAAGAAGCTCTGCGAAACGAACCAACTGAAGGCAACGAAGATGGATTGGACATACTCTGAGAAGAAAATTCAGTGAAATGACGCGTCAAGTGAGGCCGTAGAGTGGAAACCTAATGGGAAATACGAGATGGATGTCGTCTGAGGGTGATGATGTGAGCAGAAAGAAATGAAAACTTGTGAGCAATCGTGGAACGGAGATGTGCTATGTTCCACTCGGAACTCAAGGGATTAATATATAAATATATATAAAATTATTTACCTGTGGAATCATTTGCACCAATTTCGCCACTTCACTAGCCAACATATCATCGACAACTTTGATTAATTTCGGTTGTAGTGCAGAGAATGTTCTAAAATCTTGTACTTCTAAGCATTCTTGCATTCTGCTTATGCTGGGGAAATCACCGATTGATATATGCTGTGTACGTGATATAGTATCGTATACTTTGGATAAATTAGAGATAAGCTCTTTTTTCTTAGCATCTTTACCGACCATTGTTGGCATTTCTTTTTTCAAATGAGAAATAATATAAGCATGTACCTGAAACATAGATATTCATACAAAGAGGAAACATACATAGAGGGGGATATAGACAATTGATTATAAGATAACAATAATATTAATAGTGATACAATTAGCAAATGGAATACAGTTTTTACAACTGCACTGTGATGCATACTTGCATTGCTTGAAAGTTGACACTACTACTGTGGTGGAAGCCAAAAATTGTAGACAGCAATTTATGTCAATGTTACGTTCCGAATCGGGGTCATGAGAAAAAAACAATAACAAAGCTTAACCTTGAGGAACTCACCAGCCAATCACAGCAGACTTAACGTGTGCAAATATGATTCGCAGATATATGGCTTAACTTTCTGAGAAACGGTCACAAGCAGTACAGAATAACTTTCAGCAAGAAAACAACCAATGAGAAGACGTTGCTTCTCCACTGACAATAATTTACATAAAAATCTATAACTATCTCTTGATTTTCTCAATAAATGATCTGTTGCCTGGCCCTTATCTTCTGTCGTTATACTACTACTGCACAACTGAGGGGAACAGAACAAAATAAAATGAGTCTCATTTACTGATGTACCAGCGGAACTTGATCGATGTAGCCACAGTTGTAGTATCTATCACCTTTAGCAACACCATAGTTGAGAAAAAAATGAGCGAAAATATGAAGAAAGTTGATTCTAATATAAAATCAACTAGCACCAGTTACATAAACAGCTAACCACTATGATATATCATAAATGCTCTGTATACATTTCACATTCACTTGTAACAAATACAAACAACGTTTTGCATGCCAGAACTTGAAGTCCCCTGTTAGTGGATCCTAACGATTTGTTGGTTTTTGAACCTATATTGTTTTATTGAAAGCCGTAACCAAAACACTATTCTGCATATGAGGGAACCCCCCCCCCACTTCCGAGTTATCTAGGGGGACAAGAAAAGCGTGGATAATCGTTTCGTCTGTATTAAATGACAGTTTTACGACTTACACATACAATGAATGTCACTTACAAGACCAAAAAAAAAAATAAATAGATAAAATCAATAAAGGGCAAACATTTAGCGAAGCAGTTAGGACCAGAAAAACAAGTCACACATTTTACAGCCTGCCTTCATTGTTGTTTTCCTCAGTTCAAAACACCTGAGGTTGGGCCTTTATTATAGTAAGTTGTCATTCAGCCCAGCGGTAGTAATCCAGTTTTGTGCATCCTTTAATTATTTTCCTGTACAGTTTTAACACAACGTAACTGTCAGCTTATTTTATTGGTAAGATGCAATCTGTACCCACTTCACTTAGATTACTGATTGCATAACATAAGTTGACAAATAGAAGTAAGTGCCCAGTGACTGAAAGTCATACGCTTATGGAGGATGAGCTGCATCTACACACATGAATTAATAATAATGCTGTACTGGATAAGTTACATGAGTTGGTCATTCAAATTCACATACCGAATACAGCTTTTTATGCACAATACGATGAACCAAGCTTGATTTGTAAGTATTAGCAAACAGAAAAAATATAGTTTATAGCAAAAATGCTTACTTTAGCAAGACGTGCACGTCGGATGAAATCATTCAACTTTCTAAGAGTACCATTTGCAGGAAGAGTAGCCAGATCACGGAATAAATCCATTTTCTCCAATTCAAATAACTTCCGGTTATTATCAAATACTAACTGACGATCCCAAAAGCTGCCAATGTATACACGTGCTACTTCCGGTGTATTCAAAATTTTTCCTAAACTCCACATTAAAGCACCATACACTCGCATAAGCTGTTGTGAATCAATCGTGTCTGCTTTATTCAAGACAATTCGAATTTTATCTTCATTTGACTAAACAAAGAATATGTGAAAGATAAAATTATAAATCATTTTACCACAATCAGTAGTGAAATCATAAAAGACAATAGCAAGTGATGAATGATTTAACAAGTAAATAAAAAGATAATTATTTTACTAAGTCCTAAGATAATTTAGAGCCATTTTGATATAGCCTGCATAAGTAACTTACATATGTGACATTAGAAAACCAATGGTTGGAAACAATTGGTAACATGGCTCAAAATCGTTCTGAGTGGCCAGCGCAGATGCATCCACTCCTTGTGACTTATGATTTCCAATGAAACTGTTTTGTTCTTCGTTATTACTATTCCTTTGTCTCACACCTCTGTTTACTCTCTATATTATGCATTTCTCCTACTTTCTTCTCTTGCTTTGTGGGCTACATGGAGTGTGGTGACTTGAACTGCCGCACATATGTGCAAAGTTCTATGTCGAAAACAGACAGACAGACATATGTGACATAACTTGTGATTCTTAACATTCAGTCATACTTCTTTAAAACCTATCGACTAAAAGTCAAGGAGATGGTTGGTACTAGTTTTTGAAGCCTGGATAATGAAGATATATGCATCTATATATCGTTTAAGGGCTTTTAAGACCCATGTTTGTTTGGTCAAAGAGGGAAAATCGATCGAAGAGGCTATAAAGTTGCATAGATTGAGATGGCTGCGCATGCCTAACCATCGCCTCCCCCGACGGGCATTACTACCTGATATAGGCAGGTGCAGGTTGGAAAAGAGTAAGTGGTGGCCAAACAAAAACATCGCATCAATCAATCCATGAAATCCTTGACAGTTAAACTGAGTCAGGTAGGAAGATGCAGAATTCCGGGTTGGGGCCCGTTCTCGGGACTCTAAGAATCAATGGCTGGAGACAATAGGCGACATGGCTCAAAATCATTGTCAATGGCTTACGCAGATGTATTCAGTCTCTGTAATCTTTCATATTCCTTCCTACCATTACTCATTCTGTTTCACTCTTATACTCGTCAAAACTCTATTGATTCTCTTCACTCATTTTCTTGTCTACCTTTGTGTGGTATTTGGAACGTGGCAACTCGAACTGCTGCACTTCGGTGCCAAGTCCTATGTTGAATCCAGTCATTGTTTGTTTGGTACACTCCTATCGAAAACGTCTTATCTTTTTTAATAAGTATTGAAACAGTCTGCTGGAATTGCACCTATTTTTCTGCATGGCTTACCAGATGTTTGATTTAGTATACGGCAACAGACTACAAAAATGAAGGGAAGTCGATCGATGAGGTCGTGAAGCCACTTCGATTGAGATGGCTAGGATACGTGTTACACATGCCGAGCCATCGACTTCCTTAACGAGCAACGTTAGGTGACATAAGATTAGGTTGGAAAAGAGTTAGGGATGGTCAAATCAAATCAAATCCTGGCGTCAATCTATAAACATTTTGATGGCTCGTTGGAACCATTTAGGGAGGTATAGACTGCCTGGTTGGTGTCTTCGAGATTCTACGAACCAATGGTTGGAAACTGTTGGTTATATGCCTCAAAACCGTTTTCAGCGGTGGAGATACATTCACTCTTTGTAATCCTTAAGTCCTCTTGTTTTTCCCTGTTACTATTCTTTCTCCCGCATATTTCTGCTTATTATAGTTCTGAATCTCTTTTTCTCTTTTTTCCCTACCTTTGTGTGCTACATGAAGTGTGGTAACTTGAACCACTGTAAAGTTCTATTTTGAAATTCAGTCAATTAGAACCTCAGGTTTTACATTTTCACGATTCTATGCAACACTGAATACATCTGAGGAATTCATCAGATATACCAATTAAACAGCATTCATATTCTGAAGTTTATTATAAGACAAACACCAGCATATTACTTATATTTGCCTAATCCTATAGGGTTTTATGATTATTATTGCTCTAGATACCGTGATATGACTTTCTAAGGTGGAAAATGAAGTAAATCGATGTTAGTAAAAGGACACCGCTGCCGCGTGATTGCGTATCTTACAATGTATTTACATTTTTATGTTAAGGGTATTAGGTTTCATTCTTGGATGTTGTTGAGGCATATGAGAATGAAAACGAAACAGATGTGTACTGTACTTTCACCTTTGTAATGTTCAACTTACCGATAAAATTCTGTTTACCTGAGATTTTGAATCATGGTAGTGACAAAACCTGAAACTTTCTTATCAAGCATACATTCTCTTTAATGTACTGAGCTATTGATTCAGACTTAATGAGCCAAACTACCTGGGTCAAGGTTAGAAAACACTGGGCTCACACGTGAGATAAACTGTTTCAAAATATATAGTTTAAGCTTATGAAGCATCTCTCTATAGTAATAATGTTTAATTGCTAAAGCAGTAGTAAGCAGGTTAATCTCTCCTGCCCTTCCTCAGCTATTATAGCTAACCATTATGATCACAATGAATTGAAGACAGAATGAACTATTTAAGATAAACAATATACACCTAGCATACTTCCATAAAATCATAATACCCCGTTTAACACATTATAAAATAAAATCTTTGAAACTCCATATTAATTCGCTCCAAACGAATTCAATAACCAGTTCAGTTCAGTGTTTTAGCCATGAGAAAACAAAAATTTAGAAACAAGAATGATTGATGATAAGACAAACAGTTGATGATTTTATAAGCTTCATTGATTAGATGATGATGATGATGATTACATGAAAGTGTAATATCATACGTAAGTACAAACATGCATGATGTTCATGGGCAGGAAGTTTAACACACTTTGTGATAAGCTTTATTTTTTTTAAATATAAATTTATAATTTGTTAACACCAATGAAACTAGACACAACGCAAGGGTGTGACAGACATTGACATAAAGACAATTAGTGGTAGTCAGTAGGATGTATGGTTTAGTAACAACTCTACCTGTTCATTTACTAAGATTTATGTTTCACTTAGAAAGATTACTGGTATTAACCCGACGCCTAAAGGATAATTTACTTTGGTAAGGGTATACCACACAAGGTAGCCCAGTAGCAATATGAAATAAAAAAGTGAGAAGCAATCGAGTTAAAGTGGTTGGTATATTTATCAAGTATAATTAAAGGAATATTTATTACGCTATTTTACTTTCAGGAGGAGAAGAAAGAGGGAAACTGCACTATGTATGCAAACGATTTCAATTCTCAGCTATGTCTAAATAACATCTTGGATCACTGAGTTGCATGACCTCCTGAACACCAACAAAAAGTTGTGATTCATCATCGACTATGCTCCAACATAGTGCTACACTTCTCTGCTTTCTCCAATCTACCACAGGGTTATCAAACCGATAACGGTGTATAAAACACTGAGATAAAATTCCCACTACATGTTTAACTCGCGGGAGTAAGCGTCTAAAACGGATATAATTTCTTTGAAAAAACCATAATATATATATATATATATATATATATACAACTTGATAATAAATTCGTTGAGAAGAGTCTCTTCACTGAATCACTTGTTTTGATTTTCTATATGTTACAATGAGAATTTTCGATGAATTTAAACGATATTATCTGTCAAAAGAAAAAACTCATGGCTAATTATGAGGAGTTTCCGCAGGATGAGATCGATTCCACGAAAGCAGTAATGATCAAACAGAATCTGCGCCCATCTTAAACATTGTAAGAAGACTGCTGTCATCAGAGCTTTGTAAACTCCACTTTTGACAGCTTACTTGCAACATTATCCATCAGACTACAGATAGCACTCAAAAATTGCGAGACATATGAAATTTCCGATTACTTCCAGTGGTTCGCCTTTGAGTGTGAGTGGAAACACATACCACCGCCAATCTTGCGTCAGTAATCTTACACGATGCAAAGCACACGCCATACTAACAGCCAGTGACTAGGTACGATTTAAGTGACCTGTATGTTCTTGGACAGTAAGAAGATATCTCCTACATAGGCAACAATGAATAATTTGTTGAGGTAGTGCATCAACTCCAAAGACACACACTTTGAAGGTTTCTTCCTAATGTTATCGATAAGAAAGTGAAAGAGATATGTCGAAGTTGGACAACTGTATCTAACTCCACTGCTGGAGCGAAGCAATGCTAATAAGTGTATGTCCTCATTTACGTGGTATTTTTTATAAGGATTTCAGAATGTTGACACATCTTTTGAGGATACCTTCCTTTTAGCAGATAATTCCAGACAAAAGTCCTAAAAACCTCAAAGGTAAACATAAAATCGAGAAATAAAACTATTGTTGACCTGATATATGTATGGAAGTGTTTCGAAAAGTGGGTATTTGACATATGCACTTACACCCTGAACGCAACCTAGCCTACTATTTGTGTATTAGTTTGTGTTTTGGTCCTCAAGGTACGACAAAGAGTAGTGTTTCTGACCTGGGTGGTGACATACTGATACACTAGTTACCCGAAACAGATTTTTCATGTACCATGCTGAAGGTGGAGCATGGTTCGCATTCTGGATACAGTGACGAAGTCAATGGGATACAGAATACCACTGCATTCGCAACCTGTATGTCACATATCCAGTATTCACAAAACAACTACATATAAGCCTAAGATGTCTTAAGTCATCATATGAGACGTCAATAATGTTACAAAAGCAGAAGTATGTAATGTGTCCTTTCATGACCTTCAAGTTTCGAAGAAAATGCAAACAAGCACATATATTAAATTTTCTTCGTCAAAATATATGAAAAGTCCTGACAAGTAATTAGGACTGATAACTGCATCTTAGGGTGCAACATATTGATTCTACACCAAGTGACAGAACTGCATTACCAGAGAACCGATTTTATGTATAATATATACTTTTTTAAATAATGAGTGAAAGAATCGAAAATAAACTCTTTGAAACCAAAAAATAAACCCTTTACATACTTTTAAAACTTCTATAACTCGTTTGAATTCATCTGAGATGTCAAGTTTGTGGGCATCAAAGAGCAATATAATCCTATCAGCACGCTCAGCGAACCATTCAATAACTCCAGAGAAGTCATATCCGCGATCAACACGTTGTTTCTCTCCACTTAGTATACCAGGCGTATCGATAAAAGTTATCCCTTCCAGAACACCATTAGGCATATGCGCACACTGAAAACGGTTTAAGAAACCATTTCCAAACTTTGATAGAGGTCTGAACTGTTTCTTGTGGTCCATTACCAGTGCATTTCCCGGAATAAGTCCTCCTCTAACATCATGCATTACGGCGATAAAGCTATCGGTTGTCGGCTCAGGGCCTATCCGAATTCCTGGGAAATCTTCGCCAATTAAATACCGAATGAAGGTTGTTTTTCCAGTTGAATATTGTCCAATCAACAAGACCATAGGCTTTGATTCAAAATCACTTTTTTCAAGGGGAGGGGAGTGAAAATCATGAAATTTATAGGCATTTTCAAGAGGCAGTAATTTGTTGAAATATAATTTACTAAGTCCATCGATAACACTGACATACGCCTCCTGATCTTTAGGTTTAGAGTTCTTAAGAGCGCTTAACATCGCGAAATTCAAAAAGCAACCAGATCATACAAATCACTCTAAGGTTAGCTTGAGATGCAAACAAACAAAATTGCACTGTGTGAAACTTCGACAAATTTTGCTCATATAGTCTGCAGCAGAGTATAATATAACCAGTGTCCTTGAGAACCAAGACTCGTAATTCTTCTTGTAAAGTTAATGAGATAGAACGTAATTGCCTAATTAATTATGATCAACATAAACGATAATTGGTTTTCAGGTCAGAAACCATTCGAAATAGGGATCATATCAACCGTTTTACAGAATATCAACATAACGTTTTCATTACTGGCTCACTTTCTACTACGCTTCTTCAGTTTCTGAGAAACCATTGAAAGTCTTAATTTCCTTTCGACTTTGTTAATTAATTTTTGAAAAGGTATTTCCGGTGAATCTAAGAGCATCGCTGACATGGATTTGCTAGCATGGTGTTTCTAACCTCTCTATTCTCAACATAGCACCACTGGCATCTACCCATGTGGCTGAGCGACTGTTGCAGCACTCATCTAGCAAACATTACAGGCTACAACTTCTTGGCAGAAAATCAACAAATCCGTTCCCATGTTTCTGAAAAACAGCCACGGGATTAATAATTTTCCTCCTCCATTTGTAGGAAATTTGCAAACATAGATCAGTAAACTCTCATATTCCAACGAAGTAACAAAGCACCACCAAGTGCTCTGGGGTTTCACTCATTTCATGGGAACATGATAAACTCGGTTTATTGAAATATGTCACTTCAAGGTATGTAATGAGGCTACTTACAGGTACCGCATTTGCCTTTTAAATCACATGACCTCTGACACTTAGATCGAGTGAAGATTTTCTACTTTCTATCGTGACTGGTTTCCTTCCTCCGACTGAAGCGCATTCACATCTAAATAAAATTTGTTTTCAAATTTCCTTGAACAATCACAAACATAAACTTCTCAGACTGAGACCCACTAATTTCAATAGTAGAAGCGTGCTCAATTCGATCATGACACCAAAGAGGTCGTTTCGCCAGCTAAAAACAGTAGCAGTCAGTAACACACACACATAAATGTGTCTTCGTAATAAAAATCCCTCATGGATGTGTCATCATCATTTCTATTTTCTTAATTTCAGCAGCGTCAAGCAGTAATGTAGAGGTGACTTCAGCCAAGTTGGCTGTAAGTGGTTTATGGAGATACTGGCTAGGTTAAATGATAATAATGCTTGAAAATACGTGTTCTTCTTATGACTAGTATATGCCTTTTGAATAACTTATTCCGAAACCCTGTAGAAATGAGGGGTCATCTACAAAATTGCTTTGTAGAATGAAATGCCGCAGGTCATACCAGTGATGTAATTTGTGTAGGCAGAAATTCACTGCAGGATCTCTAGAAAACCTGTTACTAAGATAAACTGAGAAACTTGAGGTTAATTACTTGCTTGCCTTGCCAAATTAAAACTAAAACATGAAAACTAAAAAGTGAATTATTTAGGAGTATGCATCCAAAGGATATAAATTTAGGTTAAACAAGGTTTATGATGATTTTTGAATGATGTGTCATCTTCAACGGACTTATGGGCTTTGAGATAGTGTGTGTTGACCGCGGAAGTAGGACATAAATGGCTTTGAGGCCCTATCAGAGTTTGTGTTCTTCAAAACAAAACTTAAAGTACCAAAGTCATCTGGAGATGAACGTGAGGCAGTTATATTCCTTGTCCTATTTAGCGACGGATAATTGCCCCCACAACATATGAGTTACAATATTTCCTCTGCCACGAATGTTGCAGATATGTTTTAACAGAACACTCAGTGTTAAGAAATGACAACACCCACAATTTCAGCAACAGATAACAGCGGAATATAGAGTCCATAGCTAGTCCGTCGCCTAGTTAACTAGCACGCTAGTTTTCTAGCCGGTCCCAAGCCCGAGCTAGCAGCCCCACTTTACTAAATCTTTCAAACCTCTAGAGAAACTTCAAGACAGAAAATATATTAAAAATACAAAAACTTCAAAAAACAATCTTATTCTTCGCTCGAAACGAAGAAGTGAAATAACACAGCGGGCTGGTGAAAGCTTTCGGGAAGCCAGTCAGTCAGAAGATGTGTCTTCTCTATCTTGATGAAAGCAAGAATAAGAATGGGGACGTGGAATGTCCGTACAATACAGGAGACTGGGTAGGCTGACCAAGTAGCCAAGATATGCGAAGATATGGTACAGAGGTGCTGGGTATCTGCGAAAGCAGATGGAATGGATGTGGATTATCCAAATTGTCAACTGGAGAGTCAGTAATCTACTCCGGTCTGGTCATCCGGACGACAACCACGAACACACTGGGGGAGTGGCCATCATGTTGTCACCAGAGGCAGCCTGAGCCCCAACGGAGTGAGAACCAATCTCCTCTCGAAGGATCATGACAGCAAGACTCAACTCATAAGGAAGGAAGGCCACAATTATCCAATGCTACGCCACAAACAAAGTACTGTGTAGAATTTTTGAAATTATGCACATGAACATGTTTGGGTGGCAGAAGCTGTTTTTTCTAGTTCATTTGTTGGTTGCCGGTATTGTTGCCGGCTCAGGTGATTACATTATATGTAGAAATCCGAAAAAATAATGATTTTCACGTTCATTTTTATACCATGCAACAATCTACGAGTCAATCTGGTGAACAGAGCACGATCGGAGTTTATATTAGCAAGGTTTTCAAAGAACATAATAATCTTGCAGAATTTAGAATCTGGGTTGAAGTTGAAAAGACTTTAAAGCTTTTCGATAAGATGAGTATACCATTAGTATGCCTGTTATCAGTTAAAAAATCAGATATATTGTTAGAGAATCTAAGCCAAACAAGGATGAGCCACATGTGAAGTATGAATGTGTGGTGTTTGTATGTACTTGTAGAAACAAAAGGAAATCTGGAGGCTATCGGAAACCCCTAAAGGGTAAGTGTTAACTATGGCTGTTAATCCCTAATGTACTAGATCCAAATACATGAACTAAGCTTGTCTGTAGTAAAGCCATTCAATTTGTTGCTAAACGACTTTAAAAGCGGATAACATACGATGACGTGGTGTGTGTACAAACTATCCCAGTTAAAGGTAAGACTTTAATTGGCAAGGAAAACGTTTCGGATTTTAGTCTAAAATTTGTATGTATATAAATATAAAATATAAATATAAAAATATACATGGAAGTAAAAAATCCCTTAAATCAGATAAAGGGAACTGGATGAAAAATTGTGTGTGGAATTGTAATCACACAAAATGTCAACTGTTTTGAGTAAAGGCACATTAGTGAATAACGAGTTTACATCAAAAGAGTACGTATTCTTGTTCATGATAGTAATAACGTCAAGACAATTAACCAATTCAAATGTATCTTTTAACACACTTATAGAATTGTGTTTTGACTGATACCATACTTCTACTAACCATTTAGCAAGTTTATGCGTTGAGGATTTACACATTGACAAAATAAGACGTAGAGGATTATTGGGTTTGTGTATTTTTGGCAAACCAAACATATGCAGGAATTTACATTCTGATGGTTTTAAAGAGTCAAATTTATTTTTACTTATAGCATTTCCGTCATGAAGCTTCAATAGATTATCTGTCACTGTGCCCTGCAACAACTGAATATCTTCTGAGGAAGGATTTCGGCTAAATTTGCTTTTATCATGAAGAATAGACATCATTTTAGATTTGTAGTCACTTTTATTCATAATGACGACTCCAGAACCTTTATCAGGTTTCGTAATAATTATATTAGAGTTTTCCCGTAGCTCTTTCCCCTCCACCACATAACTTTCTCAGTGGGATCACGTGAATAATTTATCAGATATAGTTCACGATCGCAATTAATTAGTATCTGCTGTGCAACAATTTCTTTGTATTTTTACTATTGAAGAGCAACATAATCTTATTGTATGTTCCCTCTAATTGTAAGAAAAATGCATATTCCATCTTATTGTGTGGTTCTTAAACTTGCATTCAACCAAATTACTTTACTTTTTAGCTCGTTATTACACTTCTGTGTTAATGTTTTAATCCCATAATGAAATCCACTAATCTGGACAGAAAAATACAGCTGACGCTTGATTGTGGCCAAAAAAATTTTGGTAGCACCAAATGTAATCAGTGTCAAACGATATACACAACTGGTGATAAGGAAGACGGCCAAGTTAAACTTTAGACACCAACAACTACCAATCAGCGAACGACGTCAAATTATCCAATGAGATTCACGAACGTAGTTCAATGTTGTATAGCGCCTGATTCATTTCAATGCGTGCCCTTACAAGGTTACGTTTGCAATTCTAGGAGGATAGTGTCTTTCAGTATTGCCTGGAATTAGGCTTGCTTCGAATAGAGAGAAGTTGTTCGTGTGGTTGTGTAATGACTCTGAAAAGCTATACTAGGTCAACTGATGGTTTTGTACATCGTTGTGGAATATGCTAGCAGCTGGTAGCGAGTTAGTATTAGAGAGGGTAATATTTCGTGGGAAATTTTTTGCCAGGTCGCATCTCTTCCTAGCCCATATTTTGTACATTTTCAATTACCGGGTACTGTTGCCGAGACGGAGAACAGCCTCCGTCTCAACAGTTCACTGGTATACCACTGGTATACCAGCACTGCAGGGACATCGCCTAATGGAAAATGGACAGAATTACTTCGTTTTTAGGCGGGGACAACGTAATAGTCCATGTGGATGAGACAGTGTTGGTGAAGAAATATAACCGCGGTCGTCAGAGATTCAGATTCAGATTATAAGGATAGAAGGCTCTTGTTGCCTATGTTAATCCTCGCGATACATATATCTCTGCAGAGATCCAGTTTCTCTTTGAAAGCGTTCACCGATGGAGCTGTTACTACTGAATCAGGTAAGGAGTTCCACTCTGTGAGAGAATCTAAACTCCAAACGTGTTTTATTTGACCTCGGTTTGAGCACCTTCTTCTGGTGACCCCGTAAATGTATTCTAGAGGGAGAGAAAAGGTTTGAAAGGTCAATCCCTAAATCACCCTTGAATATACGGTAAGCCAAAATTAAGTCGCCTCTCCTCCTTCGATATGATAATGGGAAGAGATTTAAATGCTCCATCCTCATATCATAAGGAAGGTGTGAGATGCCATTAACTAATTTTGTTCATACCCTCTGTACTCTTTCCAGGGTATGTGCCTCTTTTTTGAAGCATGGACTCACCGCTTGTGTGCAGCA